AAAGATCCTAAATAGCAATATGATGACATACGGAAATCTATCACTTACTAGTAAGGATAAGTACATAGTTGAATGCAGAAAATTCTAATGCTATAATGTTGGTATGTAAGTCATTTTAATGCTACTATAAAAGTTAAAAGAAAGTATTGAAAACAACTGTAGCTACCAAAATGTGTTAATGATTCCATATTAAAAATAATGTAAAAATGTAAATAGTGATGTCAATGATATAAAATGGGGGTGAAGTAAAAACGTAGCATTTTTATGTTCAAAGCTAAGTTGTTCTGAGCACAAAATGCCCTGTGATAACTGTAGATGTTTTGTGTGAGACTTCAGGTAAACACGAAGAAAAGCTCTGAACTACACACACAAAAGATAAAGATCAAAATCAAAGTATAACATTATAAAAATCAAATCCCAAGGAAGGCAGCAAGAAAGAGAAAGTAAAAAGCAGTCAGAAAACAATGAACAAAATCACAACTGAAAGTCTTTATCTATTAATATTACTTTAAATGGACTAAGTTTACTAATCAAAAGACAGACAATGGCTTAATGTATAAAAACACAAGATCCAAGTACATGCAGCTTACAAGAAATATGTTAGCCTTAAAGACACACATAGGCATAAGAAGATGGAAAAAATTATTTTCATAAATGTTAGAAAAAGGAAAACAAGAGGGGCAATACTTAGATCAGACAAAATAGACTTTAACTCAAGAACTGTCACAAGAGGCAAAGTAGGTTATTATGTAATGATAGAGGGTTCAAGATTTCAGTGGAACAATTAACTGCCGAAACAATGGAAATGGCAAGAGAATGGAATTAGAAGTGGAGCCTGAAGATGGGACTGAACTGCTGCCCTCTCATGATCAAATTTGAATGGATGAGGAATTGCTGCGGACGGGTGAGAAACAAAATGGTTTCTTGAGATGGAATTTACTTCTGGTGAGGGAGCTGTGAACATGGTTAAAATGACAACAAAGAATTTAGATATACCATAAACTTAGCTGATAAAGCACTTGCAGGGTTTGAGAGTCTTGACTACAATTTTGAAAGTTCTATTGTGTAAAATGCTATCAAACAACATCACATGCTACAGAGAAATATTTTATGAAAGAAAATACGAATCAGTATGGCAGACTTCATCATTACCTTACTTTAAGAAATTGCCACAGCCACTACAACCTACAGCCACTACCACCCTGACCAGTCAGCAGTCATCAACATTGAAGCAAGACCCTCCACCAGGGAGATTATGACTCCTTGAAAGCACAGATGATCATTAGCATTTTTTGCAATAAAGTGTCCTAATAAGGGTACACATATTACTTTTTAGACATAGTGCTATCCTATGTGTAATAGCTATACTATAAATATAATTTTATAAACAGTAGGAAGCCAAAAATTAATTGTGATACTTGGTTTATAGTAATATTTGCTTTGTTGTAGTGGTGTGAAACTGAATCTACAATACCTCAGTGTATGGCCATATAAAAAGTTTAATGGAAGCCTTGTGATAATCACAAAGAAAGAAATACTATAACGTACACCAAAAAAAGATAAGGAGAAAAGCATCTAAAGATAAAGTCAAGGCATAGGACAGAAAATCATAAAATCACAAAGGAAGACTATTAGAGAGGTGGAGAAAAACAGAAATAACAAGATGGCAATAGTAGGTCCTTACCTATCAATAATAACCTTGAATGCAGACAAAATATTTTCTTCAATGAAAACACAAAGACTGGGTGAATGGAAACAAACATGATCCAACTACACGCAGGCTATCAGAAACTTACCTTCGCTTTAAGAACACATCTCAGTTGAAAGTCAGGGTTTGGAGGAATATTCCATGTAAATCAAAATCAAAAGAGACCAGGGGTGGCTATACTTACATTAGATAAGATAGATTTCAAGTCAAAAGCTTTCTAAAACAGGCTCCCACAACCACCAAAAGCTGAGCTGAAGGAAAGTGCCCGGGAGGCTTGGTATGGAGTGACTGAGAGGGCATTTTCTACTGCCTAGAGCTATGTTGCAGACTAGGAGCAAACCACTGCGATACAGTCAGGATGTAGGAGAGAGCCATGTAGGAACTGGGGCAGGAAAGGAAACCGGATCCCACTCCCACCAGCCAAGGCTGTGGCACAGGAATGGCCCCTTCCTCCGCATGCTGAGAATTTGACCCAGCAAAAGTTGCCACTTCCCCAGGCATTTCACCAATAGTGCGAGGACTTCCCACCATCCCTATCGAAGACAATGCTTGCATACATCACTGGGGCACCTGAGTCCAGGTTTACCACATCCCTCTCTGCCCTGGTTTGTGCCCCTTCTGAGATGGAGTATGGGATCCAGCTGTT